AAGAAAACAACAACCCAAAAAAACCCCTCAACCCAACTCAAAATTCAATGATCCACACCAGCATGCATGCGCCCTGTGTCCACGCTGCCTGGCCCTGAGGTGGCCTCTCCAGAATAACCACAACCTCTCTCGGAGCCATGCAGCAGGCAACCCGGTTTTTGGGTGGGTGCCAGCCTGGTGCGCAGGGAGCACTGGTGCAGCTGTGGCAGCAAGCGACTGAAATGGTGACAGGGTTGCAAAGAGGAGCTGACATCGGCTATTCACACCCGCCCTCCAGCCTGCGGTCTCCAGTGTCTAATACATCGCCAGCTGACACTGTGGCTTCTTTTTCAGCCTCTGAGGGTCCCTCCTGGGGACCCAGGCTCTGGTGGGTCATCCCAGCTCAGTGAAATAGTGTGGCCATGTTCCTGGCTCCAGTGGCAAAAATCAGCCTCCTTAGGCATCCTTGGAGAGAAATGGAGGAAATGTATGCTTACACAAGCCTTGGGGGTTTGGGGGATTTTTTTTTCAGTTTTGGTTTTTAAATCCAAACAGCTCAGCAGACAGAGCCCTAAGCATCCCCAAACTGCAGCTCCCATGGGAGCCAACCCCACCCCAGGGGTGCTCCACATCAGGCTGCCAGCAGCTCCGGCACCCAGACAGCTGCGGAGCTCAGGAGCTCACGACCCTGGACGATGCAACACAAGGCGAATTGCCCCTCCAAGAACGTGGTCACTGCTCCCTGCCCCTCAAGCCACCACTCGCCTTGTTCGATTAGCTCGCTAACGAGTTGTGACCGTGCTCCAGCACGTCCCTGCACAGGAACGCCAACGGGTCCCCCGGGCACCCACCTGCACCCCGGCTTGGGGGGCAAGGGAGGGGCAGACACTCATCTTGCACCTCTTGCCGGTGCGTGCAAGCTGGGCTTCAGACCGGTGAACTTTCTCCGGCAGTTTTTGGCTGCTGGCAAGCAGAAAAGTCTGCCGGAGCTTGAGGGCGGCAGCCAAGTGCACTGCTTCGGACACGGCAGCTCACACACAAGCGAGGTGGCCAAAGGGGGCTCCCAGTGCACCCCTTTGAAGGGGGCCCAGCTAAAATCTGACAAATGCACAGGGGCTGGGTGCCACCCAGGATCAGTCCTGATGCCTCTTTAAGCCACAGAGGAAAGGTATTAAAGCGCATGCTGTAATCTAATCAAATTAGATGACCATCTGATTTATAATCTATAGTTTTTACAAATACCTATCAGCTCTAAGAAATTCAGATTTCAAGTTCCAGCAAAGCACCTGAATGCCATATTCCTGTAAAGCAGGGAAACACTGAAGAGATGGCAAAGTTTTGCAACCAAATACAACCATAGAACCTGCTACTTCGCAACTTCTGACAACAAAAACGCTGCTTTTTGAGAGCAGAGAAGACGCGAACTGGCACCTGAGGCCGTTGTGCCGCTGGCCTGGAATCTGCTCCGTGAGCCACCAGCACCTGCTCTGCCACTGGGCACGAGCTGGCTCATTTATTTTCCTTATGGCAAGTCATCATTAACATCAGCAGGGTAACAAACGAAGTTCGTTATTCCTAGCATTTTTCCCCCCCCCCCCCCATTTCACATTGTA